TCTGTTTTAGACCAATAATCATATCAATATTCATACTCTACAAGCATACGATATAAAGACAATGTCTTTCCTTTTACGTTTCATGTCTTTAGGCTTCTCACAAAGCCCTAAGACCTTAATCACTTAGATTCTGACTTTACTAATCATTACAGCGGTTTAACTTAACCAATCCAGGGTCCACTAACCCATAACTCGGTTCTGTATGAACAGTACAGTTACTGTCCTCGAAAACCCAGAATATCTGGATATTTGTCGGGCCATATCCGGATATCCATATCCGGATATTATATCCTGATATGCATATCCAGATGTCATATCCGGATATCCATATTCGGATATCTACAGAGCCCATATCCGGATATCCATATCCGGATATTTTGCGACAGAATGCAGTTTCTGCATTTCGTGAGATATCACTCCAAAGGTTCAACTTTTAACCCATTAGAACGTCCAAGCATGCATCTTTACACTCTTTCAGGTTCATATACTGGTTGGTTACTTAAACAACTCATAACACATGTCAAGACTCCACTTTTAACCATTAAAACTCATCATCAAGGTTGGTGAAGCTTACCACACTTCAGAACAAAGAAAGGATGCTCATGGAGCTCTCTAAAATAGCCTATACGTTCTGACTTCCTACAGTGTACGAAAATGTACTCAAAGGTTGGTCCTTTCTCTTCAACAATCACTCCTTGAAGCTCAAGAAGCTAGGACAAAGGCTCTCTCTCAACCCAACCAATATCACCAAGACTTCACCAAAACAGTGGCCACAACCCAGAAACAAGGTCAACACTCACCCTCAATGGTAACCCTCATTCACACCAAGTGTTTAGGAGAAGATTTCATGAAGGAATGGCCTCTTGGCTAATGAAATGGAGAAGGGAAGACAATGGAACAGTAGGAGGGAGCTGTTCAGCCACCAAGTCACGTAGGAATAGAATAATACCTAGGGTTTTGGGCCAAAGGTTGTATTTATAGCCGATTTAAGCTAAATCGCACTGTATTAGCGCTAATTGCTACGCTTAGCATTTTAATCCCAAACTTAGGATTCTGAACCTACTCATTTTTCTAATATTTTTCATATTTTTATTTTATTTTTCGCAGCACCCTTCCGGTACGTGCTTTTACATAGCTGTTGCGAAAAATCGGCAAGTGCACTGATCGTTCAAAGTAATAAAAAGTGATAAGAAAAGTATCGTCTCCACAGGGATTGGGTCGAATATCAATTAATTGTTCCTTTTAAGAATGGATGAACAAGAGTTGATTTGAAAGTAATAGTGGTTGAAACAATTGTGAACTATTCAATATTTCGTGAACAATTCAAAGAGAAGATTGAAAACTTAAAATCAAAAGTTGAGAATTGAGAAAATATTGTAAAAAAACTATTGCAGTAAAGGACTCCAACACCTTTCTGATTCCCACCTTCTAATAATGATTAATATTTATGTTTAATTACCCAATTGATCAAACAATTCACCATCTATAATTAATTAGTTAAGCCCTAATCCCTTAGTGATCTTAACCTTATTAACCCTATTAGAATCCTAATCCCTTAGAAATCCCTTTTGAAGTTAATCTTTAAGCCCAGTGAATTTTCCACATTTGCAGTTCATATAGCCTATCCCTAGTGCATACATGAACAATTATCTTACCCTTTGTCAGGAATTAGAATCCCAATATTCCTATTGTAAACCCTAACCCTCGCAATCCTAATAGAGTCGCGAATTCTAAAAGAATTATGGGATGAAGAACAGAGTAAAATAAATTCAATTGAATAATTAACCATAAACTTAACCAAAATACAAGGGGTTCACATCAAGGGTTATTAACTTACCACAATATAAAAAGAAACTAGCCAGACATATTCATGTCTGACAAAACAAAGTATTCAAAAGAATTCATAAAAACTAGAAATAACCGGAAAGAATGAAAGAAGAAATCTTGATCTTCAGTCACCGAAAGCTCGCTCCAATTCTTGTCGCTCGCAATTTCTCCCGTGCAAAAAGTGTTTTCCTCTTGAGGTCTGAATCTCTATTTATAGATTTTTTGACCTAGTGTAGAAATCTTGATTGAATCTTCATTTAAAACTTTCTTTTAATCTTCTGCTGATACTGATCAGATTTAATATTGAATTTCCGCACCTCCCACGCTACTAGCGTGGTTCCCACGCTGTGAGCGTGGGAGTTTTGTTCACAATACTGGAGCACTACGCAACTAGCGTGGTTACCACGCTACAAGTGTGGATTTATGGAAAGTCTGGCGCTACTAGCGTCAGTCCGACGCTAGTAGCGTGGTAGCTTATGCCTGTTTTTGATCTCTGGCACTACTAGCGTGAATTCCACGCTAGTAGCGTGGATGCCTCTGGCTGAAAAGCTCCTTTCATGCTTTGAGCCCCATACCCACACTGTGAGCGTGGGCCTTCAGTTTAGCTTTTTATTTTTTAGCTCCAGTTTGTCTGTTTTTCCTATGAAATCAACATAAAATCAGTATGCAATCTCTAATTAAGATTTTGACAGATCAACAGTGGTTATTGCCCTTTTTGCTTAAGATTTAATCAACATTCTTTCTCTTTTTGACTTCGATTTCCTTATATGCTGAATGCATATCAAACAATTCCCATATTTGAACTTTGTTGTCCTCAGCAATGTAATAGATTCAAGTTATCAGCAAAGAATAATTCAGTGAAAACATGAAACACAACAACTTAAGAACTCAGACTGCTATGCATGTATAACTCTCTGTTTAAAATTTCCAACAATGCTTTTCAGTTATATCAAGAATTTAGACTCCAGCTTGAATATTCCTCATCAGTTTAAATGTACTCTCATCACACTCAGTGTTTAAGGGTTTCACACTTATCCATCAGTGTAGTAAGAATTCCATAGGCTTGAACTTATTCTCAGTTCCTAAGAATGAGGAATCCATTTGACATACATAGATTGATCAAAAGGTCTTTGATAGGTTGTAACTTGGCCTGGTTTGGGGGTGAGAATCTTTTGGTCAGAAGCTGATTGGAGAGATTGAAATACTGATTTTAACAATACTTCATTCTCTTCTAGGCTTTGCCTTATTTTACAAACTTGGGATTCTTTCCCTTTCTTCACTACCTTTTTCTTTCCTTGTTTGCAGATGTTTTCTTTCTTTTCTCTTTTGAGCTGTAATTAAACTTTTTTTTTCTTTTCCTTGTTCAGCTACTGAACTTTTCCTTTTTGAGAAGTAATTTGACTTTTCTTCTTTGATCAGCATTAAATCTCTCAAGGTGTGTCAAGAGGAACATGATTAAGCAATTTTCATCAGGTTTGAATGAACTGGTTTAAGGCTCAAAAAGGCTTAACAATGGAAATTCTTATGGGTAGTCTGTTTAGCTCTAAGTTATCAAGATTAAAAATGCCTTTATCATTTAAGTCATGCATGCAAGCCAAAGAAACAGTTCAAGTTCTAGAAACTACCACAGTGAGGCCTCTCAAAAAGAAAAATTTATGTTTAGGCTCAAATCCTCACAGTTATAATTCAAACTAGAATCTCAATTCACAGTTTCACATCAAGCATTATCAAAAAATTTCAACAAACAGTTATAAAAACGAGCAGTCATCATTCTCAGATTAAAACAATAAATTGCTCACAGATATCATGCTTCATCTAACTCAATCTAATTACTTACTGCATAAGCTTAGAACACTCTGGGACTGCTTGTTTAGGAATTCTCTAAAATTTTACTCTTTTTCTTTAAAAATTGAATCTAACTAAAAACAGCAAAAAAAATTGAAGGTTAAAATATCTCCCCTTTTTCAGAAAAATTTCTGTTTAGACGTCCTTTCCGTGGTGTAGTTCCGCAGTATTTAGCAAGTCTCGCATACAGCATGCCATGCGACAATTCCCAGATTTAGAGCGTTGTTGTCCTCAGCAACAACTATACTAGTCGGAGAGCTAGTTCTGTCAGGTGGAACACACACACACACACACTTGTTAAACAGTAAAACAAAATAATCATCAAAGCGTATTGTATAAAGAGAAATAATCCAACCAATAATCCACAAAATACTCAAAACAGCAAAATGAAAATACTAAAGTCAAGATAAATAGTGAGGATACTGGCGCTGAAAGCGTGGAGTTCATGCTGTGAGCGCGGAGCTCACTGGAACTTTTTGATCAGTGGAGCTGACAGCGTGGAGTTCATGCTGTGAGCACGAAACTCATTGTCTCTTTTCAGTCTTGTAAGGCCACTAGCGCCAAGTTGACGCTGATAGCGCCAATTCCCAGATTTAAAATTTTTCCATATGGTTACTAATTCACCACTTACTTGACTTTTTTTTAAAAAATTAAACTATCCTAAGAAAATAAAATAAATAAAAATAAAAACAGAAAAACAACTATTGGGTTGCCTCCCAATTAGCGCTTGTTTAACGTCACGAGCCTGACGTACCCTTTTTGATTTATGGTGGTTGGAAGCATGCTACCATTGATGACCCAATCTTCTTGATCCAGTATTGTTTCCTTTTATGATCATATGCATGTGGATAAGGATGAGGGTTCTCAGGAACTTTGAACTTAGTCTTCACATGCTTTTCTTTACTCTTGGGCTTTTCTATCTTAACCTTTGGCTTGCTTTCTTTATGCTGCTGATGGACTTCCTTATTGATGATAACAGGATATTGTTCTTCGTCTCCAAAGAAAGCATACTTAAAAGTTTCAGGAAACTCTTTTAATTCCACCTTTGGTACCAATGTAGCTGAGTCATCTTCTTTCTTTTCTAGTACCTCAAAGACAGTTTCTCGCTCTTCATCTGGAGCAGCTTCATCTAGAGCCTTCAACTCTTCTTCAAGCTCTTGAAGCTCACTTTTCTCTTCCATAACCACCTCTTTGACTGCTTCCTCAACCACATCAAGTCTGAAGCAATCACTGTGGTCAGAGTTCTTCATAGCATCGAAAACATTGATAGTGATTTTCTCATCATTCATCCTCAACTCGAGATTTCCTTGTTCTACATCAATCATAGCTCAAGTTGTGGCCAAGAACGGTCTACCCAACATAAGGGGCATTTCACTCTCTTCCTCCATGTCTAGCACGATGAAATCAGCCGGGAAGATGAATTTGTCAACTTTAACAAGAACATCTTCTATGATTCCATTAGGTCTCCTCAAAGAGCGGTCAGCGAGTTGTAGAGAGACCATGGTTGGCTTCAACTCAGTAATTCCCAATGACTTGCATATTGATAATGGCATCAAGTTGATGCTTGCTCCGAGATCACATAGTGCCCGACCAACATTAGTGTTGCCCACCGCAATTGGGATGTTGAAACTCCCAGGATCTTGAAGCTTTGGTGGGAACTTCTTCTGTATGATGGCACTGCACTCTTTAGTAAGTGCTACTGTCTCACAATCATGCAACTTATGCTTTCTAGACAATAAATCTTTCATGAATTTAGCATAATTAGGCATGTTAGATAAAGCCTAAGCAAAAGGAATATTAATTTGCAGCTTTTTAAACATTTCTAAGAACCTGGCATATTGTTGCTTCTGGGCTTGTTGCTTGAGCTTCATGGGATAAGGAGGTTTCTCAAAATGAGAATAATCCATCAGTTTCTTGGGAGCTTCCACATCTTTCTCCTTTGCTTCTTCTTTGTCTTGCCTTGTAGGTTCTTCTTTTTCATGCTCCAGCTCAGGTGTTGGCTCATCAACTTTCTTTGGCAGAACTGATTTCGGCTTTTCTTGAGGAGTGATCACAATTCCACTCCTTGTCACAATGGACTTGCATTCCTCCTTTGGATTCATAATTGTATCAGTTGGGAACTGTCCTTGAGACCTTTCAGCTAACTGCCTAGACAACTGGCCTATCTGACTCTCCAAGTTTCGGATGAAAGCCTGTGTATTCTTGGTATTTGCCCGAGTCTCTTCCATAAACGCATTAGAATGTTGGGCCATTTGTCCTACTAGCTTCTCCAAATCAGAAGGTTCCTTAGCTGGAACTGGTGGAGGCTGCAAATAATTATTAGACTTGAAGTTCAGACCAGTTCCCTGCACCCTCCTCTGAAAATTATTACTCCCAGAAGGATAATTCTGATTCCTTGGAATATTTGGTGGCAAAGGTCTTTGGTCATACCAAATACCATTTACTTGCACCTGTTGAGGAGGATCATCAGACAGTAGGGTAGGACATTCATTAGAATCATGGCTTTCCTTGCAGTATTCACAAATAAATGAAGCAGCTTTAGCTTGGACACTAGAAAACTGCATTTTATCAAGCCTTGATGTCAAATTCGCCATATGCTGTGATAATAATTTATTTTCAGCCAATGCTGAATCACTGTTGTCTAGGTGAAGAATGCCTCTCTTAAGCTTAGATGACAACCCTTCATTTTCATTGGCAACCATTCTTTCAATCAATTCAAGAGTCTCATTTGCTCTCATTGACTTAATGCTACCACCTGCTGCACCATTCAGAACCATCCGGATTTCTGGTTTACAACCGTTGAAGAAGATCCGGACCTGATCACCATTGGTCATGGGGTAATGAGGACACCTCCTCATTAGATCTTTGAACCGGTTACAGGCTGCACACATAGTTTCACCCTTAGCTTGAGTGAAATTTGTGATATCATTCACCATTTGATTGTATCTTTCCATCGAGAAAAACTCCGCAAAGAACTTGTTTGATAAATTCTCCCATGAAGGAATACTTCTCGCAGGCTGCCTCTCCAACCAATTCAAAGCTTTTCCTTTAAGAGCAAAAGGAAACAGTCTCAGCCGAACTGTATCATTGGACACTTGAGGATGTTTAGTCGAGTCACAGATCATCAGGAATCTGTTTACGAATCTATGAGGGTCTTCATCATCCTCTCCACCAAACTGAGCTCTCTCCACCAAACGAATATTATCAGATTTGAGCTCCCAATTATTGTTGCCAACTTCAGGATAGACAATACTTGAATTGGGCCTGTTAAATAATGGCGTCAGGATAGTGTCCATGAGTGGATTGTCTTCTTCATTGTTCCCTGCCATGATGTATGTTTCTTCAGACAGAATTTCTGACTCGTTGAATTCAAGTTTCTTCCAAGCAAATTTCCTGTTTCTCTTTTCAGTTTTTGTAATCTCCAAATCAAGTGGAAATTATGGCTCTTTACCTCGCATACAACTCAGAAAAGAGATTAGTAGCACTGTTCAAGAAACACAAAGAAATTAAAAATAAAATAAAATAATATCCAATCTTAAAAATCAAAATTAATTGATAAAAGATACGCCAATCCCCGGCAACGGCGCCAAAAACTTGTTGCGAAAAATCGGCAAGTGCACCGATCGTTCCAAGTAATAAAAAGTGATAAGAAAAGTATCGTCTCCACAGGGATTGGGTCGAATATCAATTAATTGTTCCTTTTAAGAATGGATGAACAAGAGTTGATTTGAAAGTAATAGTGGTTGTAACAATTGTGAACTATTCAATATTTCGTGAACAATTCAAAGAGAAGATTGAAAACTTAAAATCAAAAGTTGAGAATTGAGAAAATATTGTAAAAAAACTATTGCAGTAAAGGACTCCAACACCTTTCCGATTCCCACCTTCTAATAATGATTAATATTTATGTTTAATTACCCAATTGATCAAACAATTCACCATCTATAATTAATTAGTTAAGCCCTAATCCCTTAGTGATCTTAACCTTATTAACCCTATTAGAATCCTAATCCCTTAGAAATCCCTTTTGAAGTTAATCTTTAAGCCCAGTGAATTTTCCACATTTGCAGTTCATATAGCCTATCCCTAGTGCATACATGAACAATTATCTTACCCTTTGTTAGGAATTAGAATCCCAATATTCCTATTGTAAACACTAACCCTCGCAATCCTAATAGAGTCACGAATTCTAAAAGAATTATGGGATGAAGAACAGAATAAATAAATTCAATTGAATAATTAACCATAAACTTAACCAAAATACAAGGGGTTCACATCAAGGGTTGTGACCCTTACCACAATATAAAAGAAACTAGCCAGACATATTCATGTCTGACAAAACAAAATATTCAAAAGAATTCATAAAAACTAGAAATAACCGGAAAGAATGAAAGAAGAAATCTTGATCTTCAGTCACCGAAAGCTCGCTCCAATTCCTGTCGCTCGCAATTACTCCCGTGCAAAAAGTGTTTTCCTCTTGAGGTCTGAATCTCTATTTATAGAGTTTTTGACCTAGTGTAGAAATCTTGATTGAATCTTCATTTAAAACTTTCTTTTAATCTTCTGTTGATACTGATCAGATTTAATATTGAATTTCCGCACCTCCCACGCTACTAGTGTGGTTCCCACGCTGTGAGCGTGGGAGTTTTGTTCACAATACTGGAGCACCACGCAACTAGCGTGGTTACCACGCTGCAAGTGTGGATTTATGGAAAGTCTGGCACTACTAGCGTCAGTCCCACGCTAGTAGCGTGGTAGCTTCTGCCTGTTTTTGATCTCTGGCGCTACTAGCGTGAATTCCACGCTAGTAGCGTGGATTCCTCTTGCTGAAAAGCTCCTTTCATGCTTTGAGCATCATACCCACGCTATGAGCGTGGGCCTTCAGTTTAGCTTTTTCCTTTTTAGCTCCAGTTTGTCTGTTTTTCCTACGAAATCAACATAAAATCAGTATGCAATCTTTGATTAAGATCTTGACAGATCAACAGTGATTATTGCCCTTTTTGCTTAAGATTTAATCAACATTCTTTCTCTTTTTGACTTAGATTTCGTTATATGCTGAATGCATATCAATAGACAGTATCAGTTATGGCACCAGTTCTCATTATTTCGACCTGAAACTTGTTATGCCAGTCCTATATATTTTCTAGTGACATATACATAATTTTCATAATTTTCCGAGATACTTCATCGGTACGCATTTATACCGTGGAGCAGAACCGGTATCTGCACTTTTCGTAAGAAAAACGACTTTCAGAATTCTTAATCACTTACTATAATTATTTAAGCCTTCTCATAATTATTAGGGACAATTATAGAATTATTTCCTAATTCTCCTATTATTTAATTAATTTTCTAAATTAACGGTGTAGGTTCTTACATTCACCCCACCTTTTTAAGGATTTTGTCCTCAAAATCAGAAACATACATGTCTCGGAAGTCGGGGTAATTCCTGAGAAGCTCGTCCTCTCGCTCCCAGGTACACTCCTCAGGAGTTCTTCCTGTCCACTGTACTTTGACCATCGGAATGATCTTGCTCCTCAGCTGCTTCTCGCGAGGATCGAGAATTTTGAATGGTCCGATGGGAGTTTTCAAGTTCTCCCGAACCTCCACATCTTCCGGTTGCACCACATGCGAGGGATCTGTTATGTACTTCCGAAGTTGAGACACGTGAAACACGTCGTGGATGTTGGCCAAGTTCGGAGGTAAGGCCAGCCGGTAGGCAACAAGTCCTATTCTACCAAGGATCTGGTAGGGCTCAATGAATCGCGGGCTCAGCTTCCTCACTCCGAGGGCTCGACCAACACCGGTGACAGGTGAAAGTCTCACAAACACGTGCTCACCCTCACTGAACTTCAGTGGACGATACTTAACATCATAATAGCTCTTTTGGCGATTTTGCGCCTACTTCAGCTTCTCTCCGATCAACTGGATTTGCTGGGTAGTATCTTGGACAAAGTCCAAGCCAAACAACTCCTTATCTCCAACGTCAGACCAGAAGGTAGGAGTCCGACATCTCGTACCATACAATACCTCGTAGGGTGGCATGCCCAGGCTAGCATGGAAACTGTTGTTGTACGAAAACTCTACCAATGGCAGGTACCTATCCCATGCTAAACCCTGCTCCAAAGTGCAAGCCCTCAACATGTCTTCCAATGTCTGGATGGTCCACTCAGTATGTCCGTCAGTCTGAGAGTGATAGGTGGTACTCAATCTCAACTGCGTACCAAAAACTTCCTGCAGCGCCTCCCAGAACCGAGATGTGAACTTCGAGTCCCTATCACTGATGATACTCTCGAGCATCTCGTGAAGCCTCACAATCTCGCGAATATAAAGTCTGGTCAGCTGCTCAGTAGTGAAGCTCACCTTCACTGGAAAAAAATGGGCAGACTTCATCAATCTGTCCACAATGACCCAGATAGAGTCATAACCACCCTGAGTCTTCGGCAAACCCACCACGAAGTCCATGGAAATGCTATCACATTTCCATTATAGGATCTCAAGAGGTTGAAGCTTACCAGACGGTTTCTGATGTTCTATCTTCACCTTCGGGCAAATCAGACACTTGGACACAAAAACTGCTATGTCCTTCTTCATGCCCGACCACCAGTAATTCCTCTTCAAGTCCTGATACATCTTTGTGGCACCAGGATGGACAGTAAACTGGCCCTTATGAGCCTTTGTCATCACCTTAACAGTCAAAGGACCTCGAGGAACCACAATCCTCTTCTGGAAGGTCAACAATCCATCCTCATTCCAAGATACACCGTCCTGGTTCTTCACATAATCTAGGCACTCTCTCTGCACTTGCGCCTCTTTAATCCTTTCCATGAGTTCATTTTTAACTTGCACGGTTATCATTTCGAGAAGTGCACCCCCAAACAAAAAGGTCACCGTCAGATCTCGAAACTGCTCAATGATGTCATAGTCACCCATGGTCAAACTGAATAGACTCACGGATTTTCGACTCAAAGCATCAGCTACCACATTGGCCTTGCCAAGATGGTACTTCAACTCAAAGTCGTAGTCCTTCATATACTTCATCCATCTTCTCTGTGTCATGTTCAGCTCTTTTTGATCAAACAGGCACTTCAAGCTCTTGTGATCACTGAACACAGCAAACTTCATGCCAAAGAGGTGATGCCTCCAAATCTTGAAAGCAAACACAATCGCAGCCAACTCCAAGTCATGAGTCGGGTAATTCTCCTCATGAGGTTTCAACTGCCTTGAAGCATAGGCAATCACTTTGCCAATTGCATCAACACACATCCGAGCCCCTTTCCAGAGGCGTCCGTGTACAGCTCAACTTCCTCAGCAGGATCAGGAAGGACCAACACCGGTGTAGTTGTCAGTCTCTCCTTCAACTCTTGAAAGCATTCCTCACACTCGTGAATCCACACAAATGGAGTCTTCTTCCGGGTAAGGCGTGTCAAAGGTAAAACTAGCATGGAGAATTCCTTAATGAAACTCCGGTAGTAACCTGCCAAACCCAGAAAACTCCTCACCTCAGTCGCCGTCTTGGGCCTCTCCCAATCTAACACAGCCTCAATCTTGTTCAGGTCTACTGCAACTCCTTCTGCAGAAATTACATATCCAAGAAACTTCACAGACTTGAGCCAAAACTCACATTTAGAAGGCTTAGCATAAAGCTTTTTCTCCTTCAGCACTTGCAACACAATCCTCAAGTGCTCAGTATGCTCCTCCTCCGTCTTGGAGTAAATCAAAATATCGTCTATAAAGATGATCACGAACAGATCCAGGTACGGCTGGAAAATCCAGTTCACGTAATCCATGAAAACTGCGGGTGCATTTGTGAGTCCAAAAGGAATCACCAAATACTCACAGTGACCGTATCTCGAACGAAATGCAGTCTTTGGGACATCCTCCGGCTTTACCCGAATCTGGTGGTATCCGGACCGGAGATCAATCTTCGAATACACACAAGCTCCCTTAAGTTGATCCAACAGATCATCAATACGCAAAAGGGGATACTTGTTCTTGATTGTCACCTTGTTCAGCTGTCTGTAATCGGTGTACAGTCGCATAGTCCCGTCTTTCTTTTTCACAAAGATGATCGGTGCTCCCCATGGAGACACACTCGGTCGAATGAAGCCTTTCACCGAAAGGTCCTCAATATGCTTCTTCAGCTCCACCAACTCTGGTGGCGACATTCGATATAGAGCTAATGAAATAGGCCCCACACCAGGCAATAAGTCAATGGAGAACTCTATCTCCCTCTGTGGTGAAAATTCAGGAATATCCTCAGGGAACACCTCGAGGAATTCCCTCACCACAGGAATGCCAGTGATATCCTCCTGTGCCCCACTCACTA